CTGAGTCATTTCTACCTTCTCCTCTCTGTCAACGCTCTCTGGTTTCATTTAAAAGAGCCGATCATCAGATATTGTCCAAGCTTAACCTTCAGGGTGGATATAGCTCGCTAGCAGCCTCGCACCGAGGACCTATCCACGTCATTTACCCAGAATGCTTTGCGTGCAAATAAAATGGCTCCGTCCGTGTAAAAATATATTTTTTAAACTTTACAAAACTAAACATCCTACAGTATTTTTACAGTTTTTATTTTTACACTTAAAATATATGTTTATCAAATAAAGTCTAATGTTACAACTAATCAGGGATCCCTTATTCTTGTGGGAAAAAAGGGTTATATAATATAAAACCTTTTTTTCTTTCTACTCCCTTTCATTTTATTTGATTTGTATATTTTTTCATCTATTGTATAAAGTTGTTTCGTTCTTTATGAAGTGAGTACATTTCTAAATAAAGTAAATAAAAAACTGACTTTTTGACTCAATATTTGGGTGACTCAGCAGTTTTAACTCGGCCACTGAGTTACCAAACGAATAATAATCATTATGTGAATAAAATGCTTGTATATACAAATATTCATTCAGTATCTTTCTTTGTTTTTCCACAGAAAACAGAGATACGGGTGGCACTGGAYGACAGAGTCACTCAGAAGTTTCAGAACCAGCAGTAAGATGTTATTTAGAGCCTGTTGGTTAGAGATGCTTCATTGATCAAATTACCTGCTGTGTGTGTTTTTAYTCAAATGAATAAGTGAAAGCGTCTCAGGTTTGAACAGTGTTGAACAGCAGCATCGTCTTCATCCATAATGCAACACTTCCACTTTGGCGAGAACGGACAGAGCCTGCAGGAGTGGAGAAGAAACCAATGTCAACAGGCTGCTGACCCGAGCAAACAGTTAGCTGATATTTCTACATTTTGCACAACACTTCCTCAATCAAACAATAAGTTTTTTATATGTCTTCCATAGTGAATGTGCAGGTTATTGAAGCATGTGATAATAACAGTCACCATTCATTCAGGAGACTTTAAAAATAATGTGCTTCYCATCACTGCAAGGTCAAAATCCCATTTAGGGAAGATCTTTTAACATTTTTTTTTTACCACTTTTAATGTTCATCCTTTTATAACTTRATAGTAAATACTGTATGTTAGGGTTTGAAAAACAACACAATTTATTTCATTAGGCTGTAAACATTTCCTGCTTTCACAAAGAACACATTCATCTTTGTTCTTAGCTTGATTTTAGCTGAACAGATAGTGTGTTCATTAATAAAAAAAAAAGAAACAGGAAAATGCATTTTGACTAATGGAGTGAAACAATGGGACACATCGTTATCAGAAAAAAAGAAACAAAGAGAAAACAAAATACAGTGATGGACTAAATATGGTTAATCAAACATACAAATGAATGTAATTCATATCTATAAACAAAAAAAAATAAATAAATAAAAATATTGCCAATGTGGAAAGAAACTTTTATACTTGACTTTGTTTTCATTGGTTGAAACAGTTCACAGTAAGGGTCCAGTTCTCTTCAAAACAAGACTCAACAACAACATATACATACACGAAAAACATTAATTTACAACAAATAAAATCACACTGAAAACTTAGATGGCCTCTAAATCATCACTGCAGGCTTTGTTTTTAAATTAAAAATAAAAATTTGACAAAACAATGTCATTTATAATGAGATGATGA